ATTTACATCAAGTCCAATGTTATTAATTTCATCCACAATAGCATCAAAAAGTCCTTTACCAGTTGTGTCATTTGCTTCCAAAAATTCTATAAAGTACTCGATAACTTTTATATAATCTGATGAAATATCTAAACACCTTAATATTATTGACATTTGTTCTTGATGACTTGTATCAGGAGTACAATCAAGTATGATTGAAAAATACTTAGCTTCTTTAACTTTGTTTACGATTTTTTTTGATTTCAAACCCCAACAAATTATTAGCTCATTTTGCATGTTATGTCCTAGATAATGATTGTGGATGTCATTATTTAAGATTCTACGAATATGTTCTTGCATTATTGGTTCAAATTCTGCAATCATCTCAATTGAACTCAAAAAATTTCCATTATTTTCTTGGTAAATTTTTTCGTTCTTTCCACGAAAAGCTAAACCTCTTTTGCCAAGAAATTTTACAACCGCAATAATTCTTATTAATACATTTTTCCAAGGTTCCTTCTCTTTATTAATTTGAACTTGAATATGTTTATCTATTGTTTTATTTTTTTTCAATCTCATTTCCAAATCAATCCATGCACTCATATTTGCAAAATGTTCATTACTTGTTTCATGTTTCTTGAGCATAGAGCTCATATTTTTCCAGTCATTACTACCTTCATTTGCTAGCCTACTTACACATGGAATAGCATCAAACAATTTACAACAAAAGCAAAAAAATCCTATCCAAATCTATAGAATAAATTAGCCATCTTCTCTCATGTTTTTCTCCATTAGGTAACTTTTGAATATAATGAGTAGAGGTAAAATGTCTATTTTTGGTTTTTGGAAAATCTATATCTACAATTTTAATTGGACCCTTTTCTACTAGCAAGTCTCTTAATTTAATATCAATATTTTTCCAATGACTTGGATCGTAAATATTTTTAAGAGTTAAATTACTTAATTCAAAAATTTTATTTTCTACATCATCATCAGTTTCGAGACTGTCATTAGGCTTTTGACTATTTAATTCTTCTTTTTCCTCCACAAATTCATTATCATCAACATTTATAGGATTATTTTGATTATCTAATTCTTCTTTTTCCTCTACAGAACCATCACCATCAATATCTATAAGATTACTTTGATTATCTAATTCATTTTTTTTCCTCTACCATTTCATTATCAATGGCATCTACCGGATAACTTTGTGCATTTGAAAAGCACTCACAATGATTTTCTTCTTTATCCTTTTCTATTGTAAAAAATTTAGTCAATGCCCCCCTTTGTGATTCTATTAAAGATTCTTGTTTCCTTTTCCTAATTCTTTTTGAGTGGCCAGATTCATATTTTTTTGTGGACATCACTAAAACAATTAAGAATCTATAAACTGACTAAATTAATAAAATAATACTATTACAACTTAAATCAATACTGAGAATAAAAATGATAAAACAATAAAACCTGATAATTAGATGACTTATAAGAAATCCAATCTCTAGGAAATTGAACCTCAAACCTGAGAAAATAAGAAAATAAGGATTATTTTTGAGTTGTTAGCTGAATTAAAAATTGAATCGACTCTATAAAAACCAATTAAAATAGAAACAAAAACCAGTGAGATTCCACTTTATGGTTCATATTGCAATCTTTTGTAAGATTGAATTACATGTAAAAACATAAAGATAAAAGAAAGGGAAAAAATAAATTATCTTACCAATTTATCTTTCTGCCCAAGAACAACAACTCAATACTCGAGGAAATAAAATTTCAAGGAGAAATTAGAGAAGATAAAAAATTTGTAGAATCACGTGACAAGGAAATAAATTGAGAAGATTAGAGAAATTTGGAGAAAAAGCCAGAAAGTGATAGATATTGTTATAGATGTTAAAGTGGTGCGGATGGGATGACTACATGAGAAATGATGAATTTAAAGCCGTTGTTTCCCCTCTCTCTCTCTCTCTCTCTCTCTCTCTCTCTCTTTTTGTGGAAAAGAATCATGTGATTTTTTAATTTATGGAAGGAATCATGTAATTGATTTGGTAGTTAAGAAGATTGGGGTAGGATTTAGTGGGATGTAATTGAGATAATTTAGGATTTAAATGGTGGAGGAAGTTATAAAAACAGTATTGTTGTAAAAAAAAAAATCACTATTGATTTTACTTAATTACTTTTCCTATTATTCTGAAGTATAAAACACACGTGAATCAATAAATGTTGAGTGGTCTTTTTTTTTTGGTTGCTATAATTGGTCAATATTTATAAGCTTAAGTTTTATATATATATATATGTGTGTGTGTGTGTGTGTGTGTGTATATATTTGGTGGCCCTTCCGATTCTGGGGCCCTTGGCGATGGCCTATTTCGTCTAATGGGAGAGCCACCCCTGTGTGGGAAAATAGCTCGGATAAGCTGAAAATTCCACATGCCAGTGTGGCCCTCTATAAGTTCCGCAACACATGCCGTGGGGGAAAGCAGCGTACATTGGCTCTGAATTCTGAGTTTCGACTCTCAGGTAGCCAAGTGTCTTTCCGTATCCTTGTTTGGTTCCCGGACCTAATCCTCTTGTAGCAGCCAAGGTTCAATAATTGTCTACTCTCCATTATGCTTCTCCAAGACCAAGACGGGTTTGAACCTAGTTTCGCTTCAAAACAGGTCGATCCCCTGTAGTATTTAGCTCTCATCACTCTGGATAATAGTTAGTTTGGATTTGTCACCAGCCGCCAAGCTTGCTCACCCAGCATTGCAAGAGTGAAAGCGTGCATAGTTCGAAAAGCTAGTCCCCCCTTAACCTTACTCGGTGCCAACTTGTCCCAAGAAAACCAGTCTAGTCTGTGTGAGCCATCCTTATCTCCCCACCAATAATTCGCAATCATGCTATCAATTTTCTCAAGAATGTAATAGTTAATCTGCTATCATGTATCAAAAGGACTAAATGTAATACTTCCTTTGGTCCTTATTATAAGGTATTTTGATTTCGTCCTAAGTTTTTTTTATTTTTTTATTAAAACCAGGTCCGAACCTGGCAAATTTATAAATGAAGAGAAATAATTTCAGAGCAGTGCTTAAAACTTACCCTGTATAATAAAAAGTTCGTCATATAATGACGAAACTATAAATATCAGTACAAAACTGATATTTTCAAAAGAATCTAATAAAAAATACACGAGTTACATATGATGTAGGGTTTTTATTTTGGTACCCCAGAGCTATTTTCCAATAACCCTTGTATAAAAGACAACAGATTTATTTCCCAGTCAACATAATTCGCTTCTATAAGATCACAAATCTGAACTACCGCATTTGGTGGGCAGATGGAATATCCAGACCTGTGAATGATATACTGGGAGATAGAATATTGTTGTTCTTCAAACAGAGTCACCAAAATATAATTCATCAATTACTGCAATTTAACCGGACATTTCAATAACTGCGTAATCCAATTGAATATTTAAAAGAAATCGACAAACCAGTGAGAACCGGTCTGTTAATTATAACCGAACCAGAGGATGGCCGGTTCAATATTGAAACCGGTTTGGTGAACCGATTTTTTGTGAATCTCCAGTGTCGTCCAGTTTGGGTCCTGGGCTTGCGCGTGACACGGGATCGACGCAGGTTTGACTCCGCAGCAATAGATCAGTGCTAGCCACTGCACCAGACCATAGGAGCCACAGGCAGCCGCCTCTGGGGCACCTTCAGATCTGGAGGTGACCGATCTGCACCCATCAACATAGGTGGTGTGGTGCGGCGGCAGCGTGGCTGACCGGCAGAGCAGTAAGCTAGCACCGAGGAAAATCAGAGTGGTGGCGGAGTCGGAGAGACCGCCGCTTTGGAACCTTCAGATCTGGAGGGGATCTTTGCAGAAAGGGTACTGGGATTGAGCCAATCGGAGTGGCTCTGAAGTAGGCTTTGTTCTTGGACTTTGCAGCAGCGCCAGACGAAGCAGCGCCAGCGGACAGGCGGTGGAAGCAGATCAGCAATGCTCGTAGTCAGATCTGAAGCATAGAGCTTCGATCTGCAGCTATCAACACAGCTGAGTGACGGCTGAACGCAGCCACTGGCTGCTCTTCTTTCGCAGGTACGCCGGCGGACGTTGGAGCGGGGCAGCCACTGAAGATTGTAGTTGCTGGCTATAGAGCCAGTTTTTAGGAAAAACATAGATGGCCATTAGAGGCCTAATGTGAGCAGTAGCATCCGTAAAGAAAAAAAAGAAAAAATAATAAAAGAAAATAAAGAAATTTGACTCCCCCAACCACCATTGCCGCCATCAACGGTGGTTGTGGGAGGGAATGATTTTTTCGGTGAGTGTAGTTAGAGAGGAGGGGGAGGAAATTTTTTTTTTTCGATTTCGTCCTAAGTTTAACCTAATATGTCTTTTTAATTGGAAAAAAATCTTAGAAATATATTTTTTTTACATTCGTTGTGTTCTCCTAATTATTATGAAATATTTTTAAGTTTTTTATTCCACTTAAAAAGACATCCTAAGTTAAACGTCAAACCAAAAAAGCTGGTATCCAATATTGCTAGTTAACCTGCTAAAGAGGAGAGAAGTTTCTCTTATCATGCATATATCTCTGTTTTTCTGTATATTATTTTTTTAATATACGAAATTATTATTCAGATTAATTCGAATTTGAGTCACGTAGACGTAGGCAGGTCAACCTGGGGAAGGTAAACTCTCTATTCAATCAGCTATAAATTCAGGTGGTATCATTTCTTAATTCTTCCCATCACAAAAATTCAATCCTCACTCACCATCCTAGTTAATCATGAGGAATTTATACATGCCTACCTTCGCCATTTCAATCTTTCTTCTTTTCCCTATTAATTTCTTCACCCAAATGGAAGTGGCACTTGCTACTGCATTTCCCCCCCTCAGTTGCTTACTTTCAGACTGACTTTTGGTCGAAAAATGTAATCAATCCCATGCCTGAAACAATCAAATCAAAACTATCTCCATTATCATTCCCAGATTATGCTATTAATTCCACAATAGCTTCAACAAACCAAGAATCCTACAACATGGACGGATTTTGCTCCAGAGCTAATCTGGCTTGCACCCCATTATCAAAAACCAGTTTAAGGATGATTAAGGCTACCATAAATGGGTATTTAGGTTCCCCAACCAGCAATACATTTCACATGATGATGAATCAGTTGACCCCAACTTCTTCTTTAGGCTCTCATCAGTTTTCCAAGAAGGGAAACAAATCCAACTACCCAGCTTTGATAAAGCAAGTCTTCCTCCTCGCTCGTTTCTTCCATCCCATTATGCATCCAAAATATCTATCACTAGTTCAAGTGATCTCCAGAAAATTTTCCCTGATTTATTCGCTTCCAACCCAATGAAAGAAACCATTGAAAGGAGTATTTCATTTTGTACTTCTCCATCTCGAGCAGGAGAGATTAAGACATGCTCAAATTCCCTCGAGGACATGATACAATTTTCCAAGCAAACATTGGGCAGGAGCAGCGGAAAACTACTTGCTTTGACTTCGAAAAGCGAAAAAGGTTCAGGAAAAGAGCTTGAAATTGGAAAAATCAAACGTCTCCATACTCAAAAAATGGTGTCTTGTCATGAAGTTTTCTATCCATTTGCCACTTACTTTTGCCATTTTCTCCCATCATCCACAACTCGCCTCTACGCGGTCGATTTTGTGGATCCCGGAACAAAAGCTCAGGTTAACACCATCCTAGCGCTATGTCATATGGATACATCAGCATGGCCTGCTGAAAACATGGCTTTGAAGGTATTGAAATTATCTCCGGGTAAAGGCGAAGCATGTCACTGGTACGGAAAAGATGATCTTGTCTGGATCTAGGTTTGGAAGCTGATTTTCCAACCTAATTACTATTAGGTGCTGTATCATGCATGCCATGAATTATGTACTTTTGATTTCTTATCAGTTTCGTTGTCTGTTGTTGTCCTGTGAGTGTTGACCTTTTCAATGTTTCCAAGTTGAGTCAATGTAAAATAAATAATGTATTCTCATTTCCATGTGAAAGAAATGATTGGGTTGTGGATTTTCAATCTGCTTGGAGTTGTTAGGGATGAAGGTTCATATATTTTCACATAAAATGTTCATAATTCAAATATTGCTTTGAGTTAACTTCGACTCCAAAACGTACGACTCTACGGCTTAAGATGCAATGCACACTTAATTAACTCCGCCGAGAGTGTTTTCTTGGCGCCGATTTAGTTTGGCTAGGAATCTCATACACTTTAACCTTCAACATTTCTTCAACTATTATATAAAATGTTTTACTTTTTTACTTAAATATTATTTTAAGTTTTTAAAATTTTACTAACATTCTAACCACCATTGTATAAATCCGGACCATGTGTCAAAGTCTTGGTAATGATATGAATAGTGTAGAATTATGGTGCAGAAGATATATTGTCACAACTTTATGCTTACTTCATTAGTTGGGGATTAATGCAATCAGAAGATAGCTATTACTACGTGCTTTTCGTAGAAGCCAACAAATCAATGATGCACACCATCTTTCTTTTGCAGCTTCGTACCATCAATTTAGGGTTAATTCGTGTTACTAAAGATTCTGCAAGAATCAATCATACAAAATGAAGTATTGAGCAAGAAGAAGAAGACTTGGGAAACTGACTTTCTGGAAAAATCGTTTTCTGTATGTTTTTTTCGTCCATCTATATGTTCCTTTATATGTATATATATACTTCTTCTAAGCTGGATTCCTAATTATTTACAGAGAGGAAGAAAACACTCCTAAGCTCATCCATAGATCTATACAACCGACTCAATAAACCAACTAAATCAACGTTCAAGATTCAAGGGACTTTAAAATCTGCGGATTGCTGACATGGCTTACTACTCCTTCTAGATGGATTAATATGAGCTGCTACTGAGACATGAGTGGCTTCGGTTGCTGCTGCTTCTTTTGTTGATGAAGCAGATGTTGATGAAGCTGAAGCAGATGATGAAGCAGATGAATAATCCAATACCCCCTCCTCAAGTGGAGCATCCCATAGGCTCAACTTGGACAAAATGTAATTGAAAGCAGAAGCAGGAAGAGACTTGGTAAAAATATCAGCCAATTCTTGGGAGGAATTAACGTGATGAGGCAATATAAAACCATCCTTGAATTTGTCTCTTACTACATGACAATCGATCTCGATGTGTTTAGTCCGTTCATGAAACACAGGGTTTGCTGTAATATCTATGGCTGCTTGACTGTCACATAGAAAAGGAATAGGAAGTTGTAGAGGAACCTGAAAATCATGCAGCATGTAGGTGATCCACTGAAGTTCTCTAACGGTAGAAGCCATTGCTCTGTATTCGGCCTCTGTTGATGAACAGGAAATGGTGGATTGCTTCTTGGCTTTCCAGGATATAAGACTACTACCAAGAAAGATACAATATCCTGTGATGGAATGCCTTGAAGTACGACAATTTCCCCAATCTGCATCACTATAGGCGGTGAGAGATAAAGAAGTGTGACTGGAATAAAATAGACCTCTGGAAGGACAACCTGATAGATATTTCAGAAGATGAACTGCTGCACTCCAATGTGAATCATGAGGTTTATGAACAAACTGACTAAGTTGTTGGCTGCATAAGTGAGATCTGGTCTTGTGTAGTTCAGGTACAGCAAACGACCAACTAATCTCCTGTACTTCTCTGGATTGTGATACAAAGGAGTTTCATCTTTATCTTCTGAGACAAATTTCATCTCCCTTGGTAAAGGTGTAGCAGTAGCAGCACAATCAAGCATGCCTGTATCTTGAAGAAGATCAGTAACATACTTCTTTTGACTCAGATATATACCAGATGTGGAGCGTGCTATCTCCATTCCCAAGAAATATCTGGCCATTCCAAGATCTTTAATACTGAAAGCATCATCAAGAAAATGCTTTACCTTTTGTATTTCAGTGTCAGAAGTTCCTGTCATTAAGACATCATCCACATATACAAGAAGAAACAACTGATACTGAGGATGATGTAAAGTGAACAAACAATGATCATGATACGACTGAGGAAATCCATAATCATGCAGCTTGGAGGTGAATTCTTTATTCCATTGTCTGCTGGCTTGTTTCAGTCCATAGAGTGATTTTTTTAACAAACAGACTTGACCTTTCTTGGCCTTATCATAACCAAGGGGTGGATGCATATATACCTCTTCATCTAGAATGCCATGCAAAAAAGCATTGTTAACATCTAGCTGAAACACTGACCAATTTCTGATAGCTGCAAGAGCAAACAAGATCCGGACAGTAACTACCTTAGCTACTGGGGAGAAAATTTCAGTAAAATCTTCACCTTCTACTTGTGTATAACCCTTAGCTACTAGTCGAGCCTTGTAACGCTCAACAGAGCCATTTGGATTACACTTCACCTTATACACCCACTTAGAACCTACTGCTTTCTTTCCTGCTGGCAAATCAGTTAATTCCCAAGTGCCATTATCTTCAAGTGCCTTCAGTTCCAAGTTCATTGCTTCTACCCACTTCATGTTTGTTCTAGCCTGATTATAGTGTTTAGGTTCATGTATAACAGACAAATTTGCTACAAAATCATTATATGCATGACTAAAAATGCAAGTGTTATCAGAAGGAGAAAAAACAGATGAGTTGAATTCACACTGAAAGGTATAAAAATCATCCATCCAGGCAGGTGTTTGAATATTTCTGGTACTTCTTCTTAATGGAGGAGGAGAGGGAATGAAATGATCTATTGTTGGTAAATGAGAATCTGTATGAGAGGAGGAATCTGGATGAATAGAATGTGGACTTTCAGATTCACGGGGTGGTGAATCGTCACAAGGAATACTCACAACAGGTAGAGGGATAGCATGACTGACTTCTGGAATAGAGGGAAATGTGGTTTCATGAAATACCACATCTCTGGAAACAATGGTTTTGTTTAGGCTAGGACAATAAATCTTGTAACCCTTTTGCCCCGGGGGATATCCAACAAAAATCCCTTTAAAAGTCCTAGGATCAAACTTATCTCTACCTGGTCCATTATTTACTGCAAAACACAGACAACCAAAATTCCTAAGTGTAGAAAGATCAGGCTGTTTGTTATACAGTCTCTCAAAGGGACTTTGCCAGTTCAGTGATTTGGAGGGCCATCTGTTTATCAAATATGTGGCAGTAAGAATTGAATCCCCCCAAAATCTCTTAGGTAATTTGGATTGTAGCAGTAAAGATCTTGCAACATCCAGCAAATGCCTATGTTTTCTTTCCACAATTCCATTTTGCTGTGGGGAGTATGGACAACTTCTTTGATGAAGGATGCCCTTTTGGTCAAAAAATATTGAACAGGTTTGATTTAGAAACTCGGTTCCATTATCAGTCCTGATGATCTTGATAATGGTTTGGAATTGTGTACAAACCATATGATAGAAGCTTTCAATTAAGGCTGGTACTTGACTTTTATGTTGAAAAAGAAAAGTCCAAGTACATCTAGAATGATCATCCACTATGGTTAGGAAATAATGACAATTGGTATTGGTTGCTTGATGAAATGGTCCCCAAACATCCATATGAACAAGCTCAAAATAGTGAGAACTCATAGAAGTACTGACAGGAAAAGGCAATCTGGTTTGCTTAGAAAGGGAACATATTTCACATTGATAATCCTTTAATGTCTTATCAAAAGAAACATTACAATTATTCAAATGTTGTATTACATCAGCTGAAGGATGACCTAATCTGGAATGTATCATTCTTAAAGGAACAAGAGATGAAACAAAATTACAACTTTGATCAATGGTTTTGTGACTAACAGAAACACTAAGATGTAACATGTATGCTGCATACATCTCTTGAGACTTTGAAATAGCTTCAGTGGTAAATGAAAACGAGTCCAGAACATAGAGCTCTTTGATGATTCTTCCTGCTGCAAGGACCTTGCCAGTTTTAAGGTCCTACAGAAGACAGAAATCAGCAAAGAATTTAAAAAACATATTTGAGGTTTTTGTCAATTTTCTAACTGAAAGCATATTGTACTTGAAACTAGGCAGATGCAAACAAGATGTCAAAGTGACAGATTCAGAGATTGTAATATCTCCAAAATGAGTAACTGGTTGGATACTACCATCTGGTAGCCAAACGGGTGTATAAGAATCAAAGGTTTTGATGTTATGCATTAATGAAATGTCAGTGCACATATGACCCGTAGCTCCTGTGTCTATTATCCATGAATTTCTACTAATATCAGATGCAATCCAAGAAGCTAGAGCATAAGAAGAACTACTTGCAAAATCATGGTAGTGTGCCATATTCACTGAGTGCCCTACTCCAGTATTGATGATCCCCTTTCCTTTACTGATACGTTCAACTTCCTTCTGCACTGCATTGTTAAACATTTGCTGATATGAGTCCTTACCTTCATCACCAAAATCCAATGGTGTAAGGCTCACATTGCCATGATTATAAGTCTGTGTCTGTCCATAAGGTAACATCCCTCCAGCATTTCCAGCTGAACCTGTCTGTGTTGAACCAACTTTATTGATGCCTTGATTCATTGTTGTTGCAATTGCTTGTGGATATTCAATCATGTTTGCTGCATTGAAACCCAGTTTCCTTCCCTTTGAAGTAGGCCACCAGTCTGGATAACCTTTGATCTTAAAACAGTCTTCAACTAAATGTCCTGGTCTCAGACAGTGAGTACATTTCAGATGACTCTTGTCAATTTTCTAATATCCTGAAGGATTTTGATTTCTTCATGTCACTTCCTTTTTCCAACCAGACGATCTTGCTAACATCGTTGAACTTTCCTGCCCTTGCATCATCATTGCAGCATTATCTGAGGTGGCAGTTATGTGAATACTTACTTGC